GATGCTACGGATCTAGCTTCAGTATCTACACACATAGACAGTGAGGTCTATGTGGCCTCTTGGCCAATCGGAGGCCAGGATGATGCTCGGTAAGCCAATAGCAGAGCAGCTATGAGTATGTTGAGCCCAGGAAACTCGCAGCTGTGACCGAAATAAACATCGTTCACTATGTAAACCAGTGTGGTGGTTGCTGTTGCCTTTTTTCGAACGAAGCAGTAGAGGTCGCTGTTGGATAAGACTTCGTTGTAGTGAATGTCTTCGCGAGGCTGGAGCAGACAAAATGATTTCGTATAACGCAACAGGGGGTTTTTCGTCGTATGGGGGGCAGGAGAATGGGAATTGTGTTAATGCATGAAGATTTTTTCACATAAGGGGGTATTTTCGCCCATGCAGGTTTCGTTCTAGAGGAGTTTCACTGTAACTACGAATTACAATAATCACAAGTGCCCTTGGTTGTCTGTTGTTGCTACTGTATTTGTTTATTTATTTTTATTTAACATATTTTTTTATTTATGTCTTATGGAATTTTAACGTAAATTTTAGCTGTGTGTGTTCAATGCACGACATGTTTGCACTGTGGTTGAGAGAGGAAAGTAATTTAATCTGTGCTGTATGTTCCACACAGAGCATATTTGACAATAAAAGCTGACTTGTTTTGACTTGACTTGACTTAACAATTATGAAACCCTTCATAGCCTGAACTTGAGCATCTAGACCTGGCCTATTGTATTGTATTCATATAAAGTTCTGTCAATTAAACATAGCCTGTCTGGGGACACTTTAGCTGGAAGAGGACAATACTTAATCAATTCATATTTTTGGTCTACTATTTTTGTCTAGCATATATGTATTTTTTGTGTAATATTTTCAGAATTATATTTCTTGTGTTTTCATACTTAAATATTTCCAATATTTGTGTATATTTTTCTTTTGCTCTGCTTTATATTGTATTTTTGTACTTAACCTAACAAACTTATATTTTCCCCCTAGATCTTTATTGTCATAATTAAAGCATTTCTGCTTTGGCTCTCATTTGTGTGTTAAACCCTGTCAAACGGTTGGAAATTCTGCAATAAAATAAATGTCATTTAAAGTATTGAAATGTGTTTATTGTTGAATTTCTTTCCAGATTCAGCCTAAAAGTAGTGCAATTACAACAAATTATTATTCATATCAACTTGTACAAGTAGCAGTCAGCTAGCAAGAAGCATTCACATGAATACAAGTTAATTAATGTCAACTAAACATGTTCAGCTGTATTCTTTGACCCCTGCATATTTGCAGTATGGCACTTGCGGATTAGCATATGGCTGATTTTTTTTTCTCCCCCCGCCCAATATTTTTTCATATTTTGGGTTTTTCCGATTTCATTTTTTCCCGCGAGTTTCATTTTCTGCATGTCTCTCAATTCTTGGGCAGGAAACTGTGTATTTAATGTTTATCAGCATTTTTTGAGCTTGTTTTTCGGGGGGTTGTAAATAAGACTATATATTTCTAAATAAATACATAATAAAATACAATAATTAATGAATAAATAGGGTGGCACGATAGTCGACTGGTTAGCACGTTGACCTCAAAGTTCAGAGGTCATGGTTTCAATTCCAGGCCCCGACCTTCCTGTGTGGAGTTTACATGTTCTCCCTGTGCCTGCATGGGTTTTCTCCTGGTACTCTGGTTTTCTTCCACATTCCAAAAACATGTACCGTAGGTTCATTGATCACTCTAAATTGTCCCTGGGTGTGATTGTGAGTGCGAATGGTTGTTGGTCTACATGTGCCCTGCGATTGGCTGGCAACCGCTTCAGGGTGTCCCCCGCCTACTACCTGAAGACAGCTGGGATAGGCTCCAGCACGCCGCGACCCTCGAGAGGATAAAGCAATTTGGATAATGGATCAATAAAGATTTCTTTAAGTTTTGTTTGGTTTTTTTTTTCTGGGAAAATCATTCAAGAGGCCCTGGCCTACAATATAAATCTTTCATCCACTATAAATCTAAGGCGCTGTAGTCGTTCTTCTCATTGATACAATAATACTAATTGGTATTCGTTTTTATTAATACAGTTACATTCATGGATTTTTATTGAATACGAATCTGTTTTTCATCTTATTCCAGAAAAGTCACAAACTCATAAATGAGTTACCGCCTTTTCCTTGTGTGACTAAAGGCGACCACAGCTGGGGGTTCTCAACGACTGACTTTAAACCCTGCAGTGAACTAGCCATTTTGTTGTGTTTTATTTATTTATTTAAATCAGAAAGTTTGGATTGCAAATGAACTTTTTGCTGTGTGTTTCAAATTCAAAAGTACATCACTGACTTTAATAACATTTCTTTCAAATTATGTGATGACTCGTAATTTTTCCATCAACAAAAGAGACACATTTGTGGCCTAAAGAACTGGTTCTTTTGATTAATGCTTCTCTCCCACTAAAAAAAAAGTGTTGAAAATGTTCACACCATCAAGTACTGACATGAGATCTACATCATCAAGCGCAAGCCAGGTCCATAAAGGATGAGGCAAGTCCTCCAAACATCAAGTGTGTGATTGATACTCGTCATTAAGCATGAGACCATTTCATCAAATATGAGGCAAGTCCTGATTATCATATACGAGAACGGTCCATTAAGTATGTGACAAGTCCATCATGAATAAAGCAGGTCCACACGAGCAATTACTGACATGAGGTCAACAACTTAAAGAATGAGGCAAGTCAATTCAGCAAGTAGATTATACATTTATTTAAAACCACTTGATGAAATAAAATTGAGTCACTTCAACACACCCACAGTGTAGTGAGCTAGTGTGCGAACTGACTCGCTGACTGTGCTCCGAGCATTTGGATTCACACACAACGGAGACATTTTAGTATTACTAACTTACTTCTACCACATTAGCAAGCCCGCAAGTTAGTGAGCTCGCTACCAAATGAGCGGATTGACGACGGGCGTGTCCAATAACTTCGCTTGGTTTTGTGTCGTGTGTGGTTTTCACATAACAGACACTTCAGGGAAAGCTAACTGTTGACCAAACACAGCGGCACATGAAATTCAGCCTGTGGCTCACTCTGACGCACATGTGAGCACATGCTGTAAGAACGTGTTTGAGTGACAGGTAAGATGAGCTTGCATGTTTTCATTGCATTCAGCAGACACACACCTGCACCGTCAACTGGGAAGGCGACTGTGTTTTTCATGATTTTGGAGCCTTATTTTATATACTTGGTGATTTATTTATCCATTCAAATTTGGCAGGCTTGAAAACAACACTCTTCTCTGTGGTTTGCCAAATTTATAAGATATTTTTATTTTCACTTCAGAGTGATTTTTACGACTGTCTTTACGCCTGATACATCAAGACTAAGGCAGGCCCACATAATCAAGTATGAGACAGGTCCCGAAATTACCCGCATGAGCTATACAAGCATCAAGTATCAGGCCGGTCCAAACCATAGACTAAAAAAAACAATCAAGTACGCGACCACTTTGAATCATCAAGTATGCGGCTGATTCACACCATCAAGTGCTGGCATGAGGTCAACAACAGCAACAATGAGACAGATCCATCAGTCACAAGACAGGTCTATGCAGTACAGTATTAGACTGGTCCTCCTAATCAAGGAGGAGGCAGGCCCTCAAAATCAATTTTCCACACCGTTAAACACTGTCATGAAGATGTACTGTGGAAAGCCTTACCCGAGCTCAAGTGGAACAGCACTCTTTGCTAGCGCCCCTTTCGCTGAATCTTTCTTTGCATGCCTGCATACGTGTGATCTGGTTCAATGTTTGGTGTGTAACGCAAAGTATAAATCAGCACGTGGGTTGAATTTCCCCTTGAGGGACTATTATGACTGTAAAAAATTAAAAATCTAAATTAAACATTACATTACGATGCAGCATCAAATATTAGGCAGGCCCGAAGCATGTACAGCATGAGAGGGCAATCATATGAAAAAAACATTTTTCGTATAAGGGAGGTCAATCATTTTTGTGACAGGTCCTCGTGATCAAATATGAAACAGTTTGATCACATTCAAGCCAAGTCCTCAGCCGCAAGTACGACACAAGTTGATCGTGAATAAGAGAGCGCCATCAAGTATGAGGCAGGTCCATCAAACTTGAGGCAGGTTCGCACCATCGAATGTTGACATGAGGTCAAAAACAGCAATAATGAGGCAGATCAATCAGACTTAAGATGACTCAGTGGCTATGTGATGAAATACAGGCAGGCCCTTATTATGAAGCATCAAACATGAAAGGGGGATTTTGCGGTTGAAAAAAAATCACTTTGGGCATATTTGTTAAAACTGTCAAATGATGTGTGAAAAAAATCAGCACAATGTGGCTCCATCTTGTAACCTCTCACTTTCATAGGGTCTCCAATGTGATGCCCGCGGGCGCAGATAGCCCCCCAAAACCATATGATTAGCCCGCGAGCCTCTTCTAAAAACAGCTTACTAGTGATGGGACATTGTGATTTTCGAGGACTGTTGTAGATTTGAAACTTGGAAAATGTTAACACTGGCAGAGATTTCTAGAAATAGTGTTGCATGTTGATATTGATCAATTTCGTAATTATTGTGCGAAATCATTCTCGTGATCAGTGTCTCTACATACATATACATCGTCGTGATCCATCGAGCATGAGGCTACTGGAACTCACAGCATAAAGTACTTGCACGAGTTTCTTAGCATTAAGTATTAGCGCAGGCCGACGCTCTCCATCATCCCAGCAGCCAGCACTCAGTGAGTTGTGCAGTGTTGGCACATTTGTGATGAGTTTTCCATCTCATCTGCTCATCATTGTATAGGAAATAAAAGCAACGCCAGATCAGTTTAAAAGTCGTTTATCTGATCTTTAAATTTAACTCCATTAAGGACAGCTACTTCCGTGTGAGTCAAGCAAAACAGTGAACTTTGGAACGGCTGTAAAAATAAATCTATAACACTTTACAACAGGTGCCCGGTCTTCATTTTAGTCACATGGACTCCAGACGTTTAATCTGATGATAGGTTCATTTATTCGAGCTAAGGCCTGATCCTCATCTGTTATACATGATGAGTCAATTATTGAGGCTTTTGTAAGTCATTCACAAGGGCTTTTGGAACACTGAAAGTTTAGTATGCCGGTCATGCTTTCAACCCTAACCCTGACACATTTCTCTTAATGGTTACTAAGAGTGGAAATGTGGGCCCAAAGCTTTTACAAACCTTTCTGCATCTGCCTTATCTGGAGAGTAAACAATTTGTCACCAGCGAGAGTGTTACACATCATTTGTTCTCTTCACCTCCAGCTCCGAAGGAACATTCAATCCAAGTAATTTTTTTTCAAACTTTTAAGCAGCTCACATTTCATGCACCATATAACATTATTCTGATGCCAAGTGGGCCTTTGTAATTGCATTCACTACCAGGAAATATCGCTTGTTCTATGAAGTGAAAATTGCTTTATGAGTAGCCTGGCAGAGAAATAGACGAACATACATAGACAACTGTGTCAAGTTTTAGTTATCGATCCTGGAGCTCAGGGAGAGAAACTTCTGCCAATTTCATCCTACACTTCAACAACACGTCGACCTCACAGTGCAGAGGTGCAGGATTCTATTCCGACTCCGACCTCCCCATGTGGAGTGTGCATATTCTCCCTGTGTCTGCGTGGGTTTTCCCCCGGGTACTCCGGTTTCCTCCCAGATTCCAAAAACCTGCATGGCAGGTTAACAGGACACTCGAAATTAGTGGTTCTTAAGCTGGGTTCGATCGAACCCCAGGGGTTCGGTGAGTCGGTCTCAGGGGTTCGACGGAGCCTCTGCCATGGAGGTTAAGACACACCCGACTCAACATGTCAATTAGTTACGACATGCCCGCTTGGCCATCACTGGCTGCAGATGATCACGTTACATCCCTTGTCCAATCAGTGCTGCGGGAAATTTAGTTCGTTCAGTAGTCACTATGTGACTGTCGTGGTAGTATGTCGTACAATAAAAAAAATAAAAATAAAAAACAACAAAAAAAAAACGTATACTTATCTCTTGAAATGTTATTTACTTTTTTCTGTTTTTAATAAATGTGTTTTTTTAATATCTTGAATTTGTTAAAAATACATATATTTATTTTTCACTTATGAAGGGTTCAGTGAATGTGCATATTAACCGGTTGGGTTCGGTACCTCGAAAAAGGTTAAGAACCACTGCTCTAAATTGTCCCTAGGTGTGAGCGCGGATGGTTGTTCGACTATGTGTGCCCTGCGATTGGTTGATGACCGGTTCAGGGTGTCCCCCGCCTGCTGCCCAAAGACAGCTGGTATAGGCTCCAGCACCCGTCGCGACTCTTGTGAGGGCCAATCGCACGGCCCACAAAGACAACAAAACAACCATTCGCTCACACTCACACCTCGGGACATTTTAGAGTGTTCCATTGACCTGCCCCGCATGTTTTGGAATGTGGGAGGAAACCGGAGATCCCGGAGAAAACCCATGCAGGGACGGGGAGGACATGCGAACTCCACACAGGAAGGCCAGAGACTGCAATTGAACTCCGGACCTCTGCACTGTGAGGCGGACGAGCTAACCAGTCGTCCACCGTGCCGCCCTATTTATCCCTTAATTATTTTATTTTATTCTTTAGTTATTTATGTTAAACATATACATTTTCCAATCAATGAAAAAAAGATAATAGAAAATCCACCATAATCAATTCATTTAATGGAAAAATGCTCTACACGGCAGGTCTTTAAAATGATCTGTCATTGTTTTTTGGAAATTTTACCTCTCAAAAGTGCGAGTGGTGTCCACATTTGGTAACGATATTGGTGACTACTCAAGAGATGAGTACTCACATTGGTATGCGTCTGGAAAAAAAACGTAGTATCGAACATTCCTACCTTTCACCCAACATGAGGAAACAAGGACAAGCTTGTCTGAATTGTTTTGTAATGCAACATTCTCCTTTGAGTCCAAGTAGCTTGTTATTGGCCCATTTATTATGCATTTCAATTTGACTCTGAACTCAGTAATCAGGTCATACACAAAATGTTAGTTGGGATGTCTCACAGGAAACACAGCTCCCTCCAGGAACACATTTGATTTGCTTTTAAAATGAAAGTGCACAGTGCCATAGGCTAACCGAAACTTTTTGGAAAGTAATTGTACTGGTAATTCCTTCCGGGCATCGTTTGACGAACCCTTTTCCCCTGTATAAATACATGTGATGACATGTACAGATTCCAACTTGGAATGAAGCAATAGACTGGCTAATGACTGTACAAAAATCTGGCCAATGAAGGCAAAGAGTTTCCAGAGTCAAACCATGAAGCAAAGGGGGTTTTAAGTGGGAGCGTAGGCTGGGGAACAATGGAAGGACGCAGGCGGACTGATGCAATGACATCTCGTTTTAGAACTTCAGGGATAATTTGCTTTTGGCTCCCTAAAAAAATGACTATTCTGCAAAAAAAGAGAGGGCACTTCATTTTAATCCATCCCGAACCGTCTGAGTAGGAGCCACTGACTCTTTAAGCTGTGTCACTGTTTGTGTTTGAAAAGACGCACACATTCAAAGGCCATCTCAGTAAGTCTCATACCGACTGAAAATACTTCAACATAAATACATGAACTGCTATTTTTAGTTTCAGCATCAGGCAGACGCATGCAAAATAACGCCTTGGCCTGATTGTTTCAAACTTTTGGTCGTATTTTTTAGCCGATGGTCACCAACACTGATGTGTTTTTCTGTTCTGATTCATGAGACGCAACTTTAACCTTTTAAGGTTGAAATGTGAGTGAAAGAAAATGTTATTTGGTCGGAAATAATAACACATTTTGTGCCAGAGTGCAATTTAGCAGCAACAGAGAGCAGGGTGATGTTGGAAAGACTGTTTTTCTGGGGTTGGAAGGTCGTTTTGACATTTACACAGCCGAGGCTGTTGTATTTGTACCTTAAATGGATGACAAAATAAAATGAAACCCATGAGCAAACATTCTCAGCATGCGTATAAGGAAGGGAAGTCATTCAATCTCATTGACTTGGTTTTATGAGTCCCAAGACGTGTAGATTGTTAACTTATGATAAATCAGAGAAGGAGGTGCCATCGATGGAAGTTTGACATAAATAAAGAGAGACTTTGACCGGCTTGAGGTCCGTTCCCCCCACTAAAAAGATCTCATGAGAATTTGATAGCAGAATGCCAGCTTCATCCGGGACAGTTGTTTCTGATCTCTTGCCTTTCTCACCCAGAGTGATCATTCCCGGTGATCTTTGTGTTGTCTAAGCGGTATTCGATGACACAGAAATGATTGGCTGGCTTTGTATTGATTGGCTCTCCACCTCAATTTATACTTTCGATCATAAGCGCCGCCACAACTGACCGCTGTATGCATGCTGAGTCAATTTGCAAACATAGCCGGCAGATCCCCTGGCTGCAAAATGGGATCTACGTCCCTGCGACAATCGTTGTGATCTCTATCAGTCCTCTGAATTATGGTCGGCGGGTTTTGAAAGAGTGCTGGTGCAGAACAATCCACTCCACAAAGGTCATTTTTAGTCTTCTTTTGCCGCCTCACACTTTGTACCACTGGTGGTATAAATCTTTGTAAAGCCAAAGTGAGTGCACGGATGCTGCCGCGTATGTACTCAGCATCTAATCGCGGTTTCTGTCTTTCCAGGGCTGGTGAGACTGATGTGAGTGCACAACGGTAATCTTCTGTGGACGTCTTCTCAGCACACCGCCACAAAACGAAGTGCATACACAGCTTTGCTAGTTCTTCCTGTCTTTGTTTCTGTTTGACGTGCGTGGATAATGACTGAGCGAATGGAAATGTCGAAATGGCATTCAGGCTTCTTATGGAACTGTCATTGGAGGGAAAACTTGACCTCGTTCCAGCCTCGACTTCCAAGACAGATGAGAGCCATTAGTTCTTCAGTCATTACAAAGAATTGATTAAAGGGACTGACTGTGTGTGAAGTTTTCTAATTGGATGCTGGGTAAACAATTGCATGGGATGCTTTGATTCCATCCCCCACTGTTTTTCCTTTCATTCTAAGGCCGGGCGGGTAAGGAGTAAATGTCCTATCTCCTTCGTCTTTCAGACTGTATCAGTCATCACGTTTATTTTTTTCAATTTATTTTCTCAACACATTGGCCAAGACCTTTGTTCACTGGTTGAGAACAAAATGGTCAATGGAAAAGCTGGATTCCGAATCATACTCAAAATCAAATGTCATCCAACCTCTGTGAATCGTCCGAAGCCAACTCAAAACGGGATGCAGTTGTGTGTATGATTTCTATGCGCACGTGAATGTTTTAATGAGACGAATGTTGTCCTGAGCGATCTCCTTCGGAACCTGGAGGAATCAGGTCCTCTGTCAGTCCAGCAGAATTTTCTCCGTAGCATCTCCTGTCCATCACATTTGCTCTGTGTGAAGCCGATCTCATCTGTAAATAGAACAGAGTGTCCGTGGTGCGTCTTGACTACAAATCTCCAAAAGGGCTGTGGAAGCGCCCCTATTGTCTCTCCTTCTTTCTCCATATCCTGGAGGTGTAACTGCATGGAGGTACACCGTGATAATAACGTGCCCCTCCTTCTTTATTATCTGCAGTGTGTGCCTGAAAGTCAGTAAAAATAGTTCCAATTTTGTCGTTATCATTAAATGTGTGTCTTAAAAAAAAAAAACACACCAGAATCTTCATTGTAATTTTCTATTAATTTTAGCTTCATTTTTTTTTTTTTTTTTTTTGTAAAGGCTAAATTACACAAATTAGGGTCAATACAGTCTCCAGGATGTTTGCATTGTTTTAGTTGCCCTCAACGGACTCCTATGAGAGGTGCTGGTTCCACACTGAATCACAATGACTCTCATGACTTGCATGTGCGCGCAGTGGCAAAATACAATTGCTTTCAAATTGTTGAAGAAATAGGGCCATTATCTTTAGAGGCAGGGGCATAGTCATCATTTCAGAAGTGGAAGGGGATATTTGGACTAGAGAAATTGCTCCTCTCGGTCGTGGCCTAGGCAACCTAATTAACCAAACTGTCAAACACTGGTTGAGGAAAAACACATTGACAATAAAACACAAGGAGTCAGATAATTAAATGTCCACTGGTAAGACGGAAACAAATTCAGAGCGAGACATCATGATTCAGTGAAACTTGGCTCTTGCCAGCAAGCTTCCTGCACACAAAATGGAAGTGAAAAAGTTCTGATCAATGTACCAAACATTATTTTTTTAAAAGACCAAATTCGTTTATAAAGGTCTCTCGAATGTGGATACAGTGATTTTCTTCGTTCTCGATGAAAGCAAACAAATGGTCTTTGTGTCTTAATTTGAGGCAAACCTAGATGTTCATAGAAGAGCATATTTATGTACTTTTTTTGGTTGGACTTCAAACCACAACTGGCAGACAGACTGCAGGTCCTCATTCAAGTGTTTTATTATACTTGTAAAGGATTCAACAGTAAATGGTTTTAAATTCAAAGCATAACATTGAAAAGTGCACAACTTCCAGACATTTGGTACATTCATTCATCTTCCGAACCGCTTTATCCTCACTAGGGTCGCGGAGGGTGCCGGAGCCGATCCCAGCTGTCTTCGGGCAGTAGGCAGGGGACACCCCGAATTGGTTGCCAGCCAATCGCAGGGCACACAGAGACGAACAACCATGCACGCCCACACCCACACCAAGGGACAATTTAGAGTGACCAATCAGCCTGCCATGCATGGTTTTTGGAATGTGGGAGGAAACCGGAGTACCCAGAGAAAACCCACGCAGGCCCTGGGAGAACATGCAAACTCCACACAGGGAGGCCAGAGCTGGAATTGAACCCGGTACCTCTGCACTGTGAAGTCGACGTGCTAACCACTGGACTACCGGGCCGCCCACATTTGGTACATACTGAACTTCAAAATATATTTGTCAAACTATCATCTTCAAAACAGTTAAACAGTCATCCTTTAAACACTTTGTACGATTAGTTAAAATAAATAAATAAAGAAATCACCATATCATTACTCACCATGTGTGATCCTTATTGGTGGCCGTTGTTATAATGAAATGAACACTTAATGCTATCACTTACTGACAGAGTTAATGTACACAAATATAAAATATTCTATTGTCGCTGTGGAGCGAAGTGAGTCTAGCCATCAATCGAATTTCATGTTTTATTGCAGCTGACTGTTTGTGGACTAGATCAATGAAAGTTATATGCATGCACATGGCACACACACACACACACACACACACACACACACACACACACACATTAGGCAGGCAAATGTTTTTTTCAGCTTCACAAAACTGAGTGGATGCTCGTACAGTATTTGCATGATTCTCTCTCTTTGTCTCACACTCTACTTGTATCTCACTCTCAGGATCCTCATATGCCTCTCTTTCATGTTCTGTGTCCTCTTTCTGAAAAGCAGTGTCTCCCAAGACCTCTCTCTCTCTGTCTCTCTCTCTCTTTCTCTCTCTCTCTCTCTCTCTCTCTCTCTCTCTGTGGCACTCTACTTGCTTCTCTTCAGTGGCATCATCTTGCTCTGCCTGGTACGTGGTTTAGAATCAGGAGGCATTGTGTTGTTTTTTTTCTTTTTACCTTGAACTACGAAAAAAAAAGCAGTGGAACAGCCGACATTGACAAACATTTCAGTAAGTCGGTCAATAAATAACATTCACTAAAATTGTCTGTATTGTTGCAGGCACGCTTGTTTTTGTGTTGTGGCGAGGTTATCTAATGTTAACTAAAAGCATCGTGAATGTGTTCTCTGACAAAAATCATGGCCCCAGCTCAGGAAAATTGGTCCAGAACAGGGATGGACGATTCAGATGCTGGACGGGGCCACAATTTTTAATCAGTGCTGCTGGGAGGCCGCATAGGACTTCCGAACCAACAATGTGTTCTCTGACGAAACTGCCATTTTGAATATAGCGCGTACGTGCAAATTATGTGGCATTTATGTAATATTAATACTAATTCATTAATAATCATATTTCATTTTTCATAATACATTTCTGCATGTATGTATAATAAAAGATCCACTATCTTACCTCAGCAGCAAAGTGTTTGACGCAAACAACAAAATAACAACAGCCTGTATTTTTCTTTTCCAATGCAAAGGGCTCTCTCGCAAGCACTGAATGCACTTTTGAGCAAGTGCGGGACGAGAATGAATTTCAACAAACATCATTCGTGCCCCTGGGTGACCCAGGATGTGTACAAAATCCCGTGGCACCCAGAAGACCGTCCCTCTGAACCTTCTTGCGTGACCAAACATTCGGGACTCATTGAACCATAGTTACATACGTAACTGTCGTCCCCAAGCGGTCTGGTGGGATGCCAACAATAAGCGCAAGAACTCACAAAAATCAGTTTCCCCAAAATGTTAACATTATTGCGGTACCATGTTTGTCTTTCATGTCATTCCAAATCTGCAAAATATTAGGCATAGTCACGTTGCAGTAAAGGGTGGAAGCGCAATAAAGCCAAGTCTGCCATCTAATGGTGAATGGTGATATTACAATATAAGCGGATTAGAAAATGGATAGATGGATGTTAAAAAGGTTTCATCTTTGGTTTGATACAACACTGTATTACATTGTACTGTATATGTAATAAGTGTAAGATGAGTACATCACGGATTACACTTATCACGGGTTCTTTTGGAACGTAACCCCCGCGATAAACGAGGGATTACTGTCATTTGAAAACTACAATGTTTTCAACAGACAATGATCTGAAAGCCTCAATGTAGTAAAATACAGCAAAATAAAAGGCAAAAATAATGACTACTATTGATGTTCATCATTTTAATATAAGTAGCATTAAAAAAAGTGACCACTATTGCTGTACATGTTTTAATATAAGTGCCTTGCATCGCAAAAAACAAATAGTCATGAATGATCAAACACTGAATGAGTTGTCAATATAAATCATGTAAATCATATATATTTTGAGTAAAGAGTACTTTCATTAAAAAGCTATGAAATAATGTACTTACAACATTAAGTCAGCGTCACTTTTGGTTACGATTTTTACTGCACTACAATCACGCAACACGTGAACAAAGCCTCAGGTGGTAAAGTGGTTGCCTCCCAACCCAGAAGTTGTGGTTTCGATCCTCATCCCTGTGAGCAAGTCTTTATGTCCTGAAGCAAGATTCTGATCCCCCACGTTCTTCTGATGCTGTGTCATCAGTAGGTAGATACATACATAAAAATCATCCATAGGTTTATCTCAATTTTAAAGAATACATTAGTTCTGGGATGTCGTACACGTGAGGTAAACTTTACTTTATTTCTTTAAATATTTCATAGCTTTTGAATTAAGGTACTCTTTATCCACAATATATGATTAAAATTGAGCCAATATACATTGTTGCAAATTGTTACCCTACATTTGTGGGGTAGATGTTTTTTAATTTTTTATTTTTTTTATTTTACTGTGTGACTTATCACCTGATTCCATTTCAGATAGTGGTTACCTATATTGTACATTGCAAGCAGAGAAAAAATATTGTTTATTTTGTAAAGGTGCATTACTTGTGCTATCTGCAGACTTATTTAAGATTATTTACACACCTACTCGTGGTATTCTTTTATTTCTTGAAACAAATCACATAAAAATAATCTCTCTCTCTCTCTGTCTCTCTCTCTGTCTCTCTCTGTCTCTCTCTCTCTCTCTCTCTCTCTGTCTCTCTCTCTCTCTCTCTCTCTCTGTCTCTCTCTCTCTCTCTCACACACACACACACACACACACACACACACACACACACCCACACACACACACGCACACACACACACACACACACACACAAACACACACAAGCTCTCACTCCTTCCAGCTTGGAGAAAGGGTTCCTCCACCACAGCTGAGACTGCAGCAGCCACCAATGCCACCATCCAACAAATTTGCTGTGACCTTTTCCGGGAGCTTGCTTTTGCATCTCCAGATACTGGAGGGCAACAAAGAGGCCCATGACCTGGCTGCACTGCCGTAAGGAGTTCAACTACCGGTTCAGTACAAATACACAGCTACCATGGTGGAGAAGCCAGGGCCGCAAGCTAAGACTCTTAAGATCAAGAATTGTGAGGTGAGTCCATAGCATCTCTCAACTCAACTCAACTGTATTTATAGAGCACTTTCAAACAGCCATCACTGCATACAAAGTGCTGTACATAGAGATACTAACATATACAACAGTAAAGCAATAAATGAATAACAAAGATGGTAGAAAGCACCAAACAGTAAAATTAAGATTGGATTGGATTGGATTGGATACAACTTTATTGTCAAATGTGCTGCACATACAGCACAGATGAAATTTCTTCTCTCTCAACATAAAACAAGAGGAGCCGCTGCGGGTGTCCGCGCCGCCATCAAAAGAAAAGTTAACAAAAAATGAAAAAATAATACAAGACAACACATGAGACACAGACAGTTGTGCAATCTTAACCACTTTCCTGCATACACTTTGTTGTCTGAAGCAGTTATACTGTAGATGAAAGAGGAGTGAATCAAAGTGTCCTTTTCACCAGTGGATCAAAGACGTCATGCTGCAATGTACACACGTCTGCTACAAGCTAAGCTTGAAAGCAACAAGAAGCTGTAGCATCTATTAACGAAAAAGAGAGATTGGCTCTATTCTCCTGTCCCATGTAAATCC